TCTAAATATACTATGTACACAGCATTTCGCTCGTCAAAGTTAATCACTTTGTCAAAGAATGAAATAAGATCGGTTTGGCATGATCTGTTTTTAACAAAGAGATGCTGGCTTTTATTTATAACTTTATTTGTTTCTAGATGTTCGCAAATCTGTTTTTTTATTATCTTTTCCAGGATCTTCCCAGGTATTCAAGTTAGGCTGATTGATCTATAAGTTCTTTTTTCCCCCATTTTTTGAAAATGAGTTAAACAGTTCTGCTTTCTCTCTGCTGCCTATTTCTTCTTTACTATCTTCTCTCTTAAGTGGACCTACTGTTTCCTTGACTTGTTGAAAGAATTTTTTTAAAAATATATCTTTTGACTTTTATTGTAAGTCTTTGTTCATTCTGAGCCTTTGCTTTCCTGACTTCATCTTTGCAGATTCTGGCTATCTGCTGATACTCTGCTTTAGTTATGTGTCCCTCTTTCCATTGTTTGTACTTGTCCTTTTTGTCTTTCAATTTATCAGAAAAAATCTTTTGCAACCATGCTGGTTTCTTCTTGGATTTCTTCTTTTTTCTTTTTCAGTGGTATTGTGTTGGACTGGGCTGTTATGATCATATTTTTCAGAGTTTCCCATGCTTCTTGAGTTGTTTTCCCCTTTAGGATTTTCATCCATGGAATTTTCTTAGGTTCTCTCTGAGTTTGTTAAAATCAGCTCTTTTGAAGTTTGTATAGATTATGGGTAGATTATGTTCTATTGCTTGTGTTTGTGTTATATTGCATTTCAATGCGACGTGGTCACTTTCACCCAAAGTTCTGGAAACTTCAACTCCTGCTATCACTTCTTTATTAGTACGAATTAGATCCAGTATAGCTTTTCATCTAGTTCCCTCCTCTGCCTTTTGGATGACAAAGTTCTCAGCTAGGTTGGTTAAGAATCTGTTTGATCTCCCACTTGCTGCAGAGTTTGTCTCCCAGTTGATATCAGGGTAGTTAAAGTCTCCCATTACTACTGTGGAATATTTCCTACATACATTTGTTAATTGTTTAGCAAAAAGTTCATGTATTTTTTCAGCTTGGTTGGGTGGCCTGTAGTAAATACCTATAGCAATGTCATTCTTTTTTCCTTTTATATTGACCCATATGGATTCTAGGAAGTTTTCATCCTTGGTTTTGTGGATTTCTGTAGAGCTGTAGTGATCTTTTATATATAATGCAACTCCAACTCCTCTTTTCTTAGGTCTCTTTCTTTTGAATAGTTTGTATCCTTCCATCAGTACATTCCAGTCATGAATTTCAGTAATGGCAACTATATCATATTTACCTTCATGTACTAGTAGTTCAAGTTCACCCTCTTTGTTCCCTAAACTTTGAGCATTTGTGTATAGGCATCTGAGTCCTTTATGGGTCTTGGGTATATTTCTTATATCTCCTTTTTATCTGGGTTTTCCATCCTTTCCATCACTCTCTACTTCATTGTGTTTTTCCTTTTCTTCTTCTTTCTCTTTACTACCTACCTCCTTATATGATTGGTTTAGATCACCAAAAACGAACCTTAATCCAAGATTTCCAGAACTTCTAACCGGGAGGAGGGGGGAGTTAAAGTCAAATTTCGGGAAGACTATTCTACTTGGTCAGCAAAAGGTTTATATAAGAAAGGTCAAGAACACTCCAAGTGAGGTAGAGAACGGTCATCGGGAAGTACATCCATTACGTCTGGTACCAGATCCTTTGTGAAGTTCTCTGGATGACACCAGTTTTTAAGCCAGTGGTTCGTTTCTTAAATCCTTTGCTCCCTCATTGGATGTTGGCCTTTTGTTGGAAGTATAGATGAAAACACCACTTGAGCTCCTAATTCTTTAACTTTCTTCCCTAACTGTTCATAATCTCTTGTTATTGTTTCTAGATTCATTGTTGTGTCATTGGTCTCCATGTGTAGGAGGAGAAAGGGTTATATAATCTGTGGGGTTGATTATTTTAGTACGTTTCTTGGTTACAACTTTGATTTTTGCTCCAGGAAAACAACATACCTCCCTAGATTGACTATTCGGTTTTCAGAATATAGTTTCTATTCCCCAAAGAATTGAATCTCCTATCACTAATATTTGTCTTTTTTTCCTATGGAAGTCTGGGATACTTTTCTTCCTGTCACAGGAATGTTGGGTTGTATTTCCTTTTTTAGAAACTATTGATGACTACTCCTTTATAGGTCTCTGCATATTTTCTTCCAGGTGGAGGCTATGAAAGCAATTGCTCAGTTCCAGAAGGGCTTCACTGGAGTGGGCTAGGGTAGATAATAGGGGCTTTGCTCTTGGTTGTTGTTTTCTTCTAAAAGTGACATGTTTCCATTGGTCTTCCTCTTTAGGTTCATATATAGGGTCATTTTTTTCAGAAGCTGTTCTTTCCCTATTGTGTTCAATTTGGGTGTATCAGTTTTCTTATTTTTGTTCATATATGGGGTCATTTTTTTAGAAGTTGTGTGTGTTTAATTTTGGTGTAGTCTTCTTGTTTAGGTTGGGGATTCTCACTTTGTTCATTGAGTTTCTGAGTTTCTGAATTTATTAATTTATAAAGCTGCCAATTTTGCCATTGCTACAAACTCACCGTTTGTGTTCTAATTTTTGTTCTGTATTTTAATTGTTATTATATTTATATTTGTGTCATTATCGTGTTATAGTACGTTCCTGTTAGATTACTTTAGATGTGTAAGTACCCGAGTGGGTCGTAAGTTTAGGGTACGGATATAACTTAGTCCGTCCTAAATTTTCCGGACGTGGAAAATTTTTATGATACAAGTTTTCTAGAATTAAGGAAAGGTTCAGTCCTTTTTGTTTATATAACAGTTGTAGCAAATTTCCTTCAAGTCTCCCTGATAGTCTATAGGGCCTGAGGGAACACTCAGGTCTTTAAGGAGTTCTAAAATGTGAGCAGGTCAGGGACAAATGAAGTATATAGAGCCTCTGGGCTAGGCTTAGAGAGGATGATGTAAGACTGATGCCAGGGACAGTCCTTGAATGAATTTTTTATTGCATTAGTTATATGCTAGTTATAAAGTGAAAACATGTTATTAAAACATTTGTTGATATTTAACTGGAGGTAAGATTGAGCTGTGTCATTTTAAATGGTTTGGAAATAAGCTGTGAAAAAATTAACATGAAATTTTAAGGGGCAATTTCATTGCTGATTTAGCCTCCTGTAAAATGGAGCAGACACGCCTGCCCAGAATTTATTGAGTCTATACAGAAGGAAAGCCCAAGGAGATTTTACTTTGTTTTGTTAGGTCTGCAGGCTATTTTTGCTAACATCAGAACCCTGCACAACTATAAAATAAACCCAAGACTATTTTTGGTGGTGCATTTATTTCCCTTTTTCGGTCACATTAGTTAAGATCTAAAATAGATAAGTTGAAACATCTGGAATCAACCAATCTTCCCAAATAAGAGGGGGAAAAATGGCACAAATTTCAGTCCTACTCCTTCTGCTAACATTAGAGCATCACTCTGCTCTGAATCAGCACCATCACCACCAACAATGATGTGGCCCTCAGTTGAAAAAGTTATTTATTATTAGCTTAATGCAACATGTAAACTCTTTAAGTCCAGTGTTACATTTTTTTTTATTATGTGCCATCACACTGGTGTCAACTCTTAGAAACCACATAGAGATGATTTTTTTTCTAAAAAGAACTGCTCCCAACTTGGTTCTATGGGCCTTCCAGTGGTATACCCAACTGCTGCTTTAATTGTGTCCATCTATCTTGGTGTCGTCCATAATTTTCTTCTCTTTCCTAGCACTTTTTCCAGCACTATAGACTTCTTCAAAGCTAGGTCTTTGCATAGTATGACTGAAGTAGGATAATCTGAGTCTGATCATTCATATCTCAAGTAAGAGCATTGGATTGAATTGTTTGATGATCATTTTTTTTGTTTTCTTGGCTATTCAGGAATCTTTTTCAACACCAAAGTTCAAAAGCATCAATACTCTTTTTATCCTGCTTCTTCAAAGTCCAGTTTTTCACTTCTGATGAGTGACACAAGGAAAACCCTTAATTATGAAAACGCCATTCCTTGTTTGTTTTTCATATCCTTAGTAGTAAACAGTGTGATCTTCTGATTAAAAATATCCAGTTCCGGTTCATCTCACTTCATTGATGCCTACAATGTCAATGTGTAGTTAATTCATGTTTCACTATGTTTGAGCTTTCCCATATTCTTACATTCCATGTTCCCACTATTATTCTGTTTGCAACTTCAGTTTTTCTTTTCCTGTATAGCAACATGACTTCTCAAAGGCTTTAATCTAGACACATCATAAACATAATCCTCGAGTATCAATGTGAATGTCATCTGACTTGAGGGGCACATCATCGGACCCTAGTTAATCATCATGTTTTCTTGTTAAAATATAGTAGTTTAGCACTGCCTTCTTCTGTGTAGTATGAAATGCTTCCTTTGCTATTATCACTAAAGTGATCTTCCACTTTCAGCATTTTCCTATCACTGCTGCCAATTATAGATGCCTGTTGTTTTATCTGGGCAGTTGGGAAACTTTTACAGTTTTACAGAATTAGGTACACTTGGCATGCACTCCCAACTTATTTTTTACCCCACTCTCCCAGGAAGAGCCTGCACAGCAGGACTTGACGAGGATGGTTGGGTGAGTGTTATATGTCTTATTTCCTTAGATTATCATCACAGATTACTTTCCAAAATTTCAATAAGAGTGCCTTGCCCATCATCTGGTACCTCAGGTCCTTTTAGCTAAAGATGTCACAAATTAAAATTATAATCTATATATGGAAAGCAGGGAAATTGCCCTCAAGCAAAAAAACATTGAGACTTACCCTCCAAATCATTTACATGGGGCTGATTTCAGATTGGCCTTTATTTTTATATGCTATTTTTATCATCTTTACAATTTTCCATGCTGGTTGTTTACACATCTAAAACCATGCACTTGATTTTTATGATGCATACTAATCCATGCGTGTTAAATTAAATGAAAATGTATTACACCTACCATTAGCATCATGGGAATATTCTATGCCAGAAACTGTACACCTCCGGAAAACCATTTTATTCTCAGTGAGGGTTCCAGTCTTGTCAGAAAATATATATTGAATCTGCCCTAAATCTTCTGTGATATTCAGAGCTCGACATTGTAGCTGAAAGTCTGTCTCTTCATCAAATAAATCCTTATCTTGATGAATAAAATAAACTTGGCATATTTTAACAATTTCAATGGAGACATATAAGGAAATTGGAATGAGAACCTGGAATGCATAAAAATAGAGAGTCATTAACCGAACAAACAAACCAAAGTGGTAGAAAAGATGCATAATTGAATCAACTGGTTATGAATAGTGCAGTATCGTACTGTACCTTTTTTGGGAATTTATATATTCTGACTTAAAGCCAGCATTGTAAAGTTATTAGAGTATCTGCAAAGGTGTACTGTGACAGATTAGGAAAGCATATGGAGCAGCTGCAGAGATGATATCCATAATTAGGTCTGGTGGTATTATTATCAAAAGCTTCAAAAGAAGTAAATACTTTCAGGGTAACAAGATGAGCTTGAAAGAAGCTAAGAAAATAAGAAAAAGATTGTAGGGGTGGAGGGATTGGGAGGAGGAAAAGAGAGACTGCAGTCAGAATCATGCCAGCATAAAAGAGCTTGCAAAAGAAAACAACATTAATTAATAATCCTAACATTTTGTTGATAAGCACAACAGATTTTCAAATGAGCTTTCCAACACAACTTGAAATGAGGAACATAGTGTAGATCTATGTGCAAAAGAAATTGCCTCAACAGTTGCTTTTGTGGAAATGAGCAACATGTTCTGTAATTGCTAAGCAAAGTGTTATATTTTTTTTCTCAGATATTTTTAACAGTTTTTCACATACTTTCTGAAACCTCATAAAAGCCTTGATTCGCAACTGAATATTACTTGAAGCAGCGTACACAGCACTCTCTTCTCCAAAGATAACCCTGCAAAATAAAGTGGGCCCAGGAATGTGTTGGAAAACTTCAGGATTTTTCACTGGTGTCAAATTCCCAGCTCAGCAATGACCAGGAAAACCACGGTGGCTAGTAAAGTAATCAGAAATGGATGAAATCCCAGCTAATGCCTTTGCTAGCCACAGATAGTCCCTGAGCATCCTGTGTCTTTAACAGTCCATGCATGCCAACCACTTGCTTCCTAAATATTTAATTAAGTTTAATATTCTACTCAAAGTACAGAGATCTGTAGAGATCTCTTCATTTCTGGAAATTAATTATAACTATATTTCTATATTTCTCCAACATTTACTGCCATTGCATTAACTACAAAGAAGAGTATGTACAAGAGAGAAGTTGGTTTGGATCTTTTTCTAAGAAACACATAAATTGAAAGTTTATGTGACTTGACCAATTAATTGGATAAATGTGTAAGTTATCTTGGAACCAACTCACTCCATTGCATTCAACTCTCTAGCCTCAAAAGACAGGCAATTGCAGATTAATAATGTCCAACTTACATACAACTTGTACTTATGAACAGATAGCTACAGAAAACTTTTTATATTAAACAATTGAACTAAAACAATAGTTCAAAATAATGAATGTGCTACTTAGTGATGTTCAAGAAAACACTTCATAACTTCAACAATTCAACAGCTTGAATATCATCCACCATTTTGCATGTTGCAGTTAACACTATGTTGAGTATGTAATTTTGTATTTTTCTCTTATTTACTCTTGTAACCATGCCTCCAAAGTGTAAATCGAATGAAAGTGCTGATGATACATCAAAGAAAAGGAAAATAATTATGAAAATAAAGTGGAAATAATAAGCAATCAGAGCAGCAGACAATAGCATGTGAGAAAGAAGTCTTGGACCTAAAAAATCCAGAACTGAAAAAGATTTTGATGAAAGATTTAGCTGAAGCCTTGCATCTCACTGAAGCAGGGGTGGTACAGTTAGTAAGATCCTAATACAGAGAGGTTCACCAAAGTTTACTACAGTTACTGAGGGCCCCAGCTACTGCATGACCTCCCTTGATGCCTATTTCAAGAAAAGGTAAAATATATACTATATACTGAGACAAACAGTTGACTAATTGATGCTAAATAAGAACTGTATGTACCTGTTTCTTCTTACCTACAAACTCAATTTAAAGACAGACTTAGGAACGGATCCTAATCCAGGACTGCCTGTAATAGCAATAGCACTAGCATGTAGACTTATATAACGCTTCACTGTGCTTTTACAGTTCTCTCTAAGCGATTTTACAGAGTCAGCATTTTGCCCCCAACAATCTGGGTCCTCATTTTACCGACCTCGGAAGGATGGAAGGCTGAGTCAACCTTCAATCTTGTAATCAAACAATGTTAAGATACCTTTATCTCCCATGCAATTGACTAGGAACAAAGGCCATCAGTTTCTTCCATGAATTGTAAACAATGTTTTGATGGTGTGCAGGCTAAAAATGCTATAATAGCCAATTACACATTACATAATTATCCCACATTTCCACAACACCTTTGTTCTTAGGAAAAGTAAGTCTGAACATTTGATAAGGATGAAAAATAATAATAATGCTTTAAGAAATATTGGGAATATTTAGTCATAGTTATTAAAAAAAGAAATTTGTGGGTTTTGGGAGGCATCTGACAGCAGTTTACATGATAATTGATCCATGATTATTCAATTTTCACTGTTACCTAGAATTATATTTCTGCACCATTTTTGTTGCTAATTTTAGGTTTACTTTTGATCCATTACCAAATTGACCTTCAGTTATGGCCTCTGAAATTCATTACACAAATGAAATCTGGAAGAACATCTAGTGGAGACATAGATAGATATGTAATTTCACTTAAAAATCATATTGCCAACATCCTTAAAAGATGGGGGGCTCCACTTTCATTATATGTAAGGTAAAAAGACTGCTAATAATCAAATGATTGGCTTGCTAAGTATTATTGTCAAAATGTGAGCTGGTCATTTAAATTGGAAATTGTCAGAGATTGGGAAGACCCTCTTAATGGAAGAATAGACAGTTTTTTTAGCGAAGGAGAAGCTATTCTTGACCAATGCCCAAATTTTATGGAATCTAGCTAAAAATACATAATCCTATAGGTGGAGCTTTAGTATCAACACTGAGCCATTTTAAGTCTTGCTATCTTGAAATTTAATTTGAAGCAAATATGTGCCTTTTCATTCAACAGCTATACATATTCTGGAGTTAAGTGCATATTCCGGAGTTAAGTGCAATCTTCAGTACCAACTGTTCAGAGGAATTCCTGTCCCAAATAGTCCTTTATTGTTCATTTTTTATTTAAATGTGTTATTCAAGTATCATAACGATTATTTCCCTATGCTACAGTATCTGATAATTATCACAACTTATCTTACGCCATTTGGTTATTATTGGGTATTGCAACTCTGAACAGCTGCTGATAAAGCAAGAAAAACCAAAGTTATAGCTTTTTAAAGAAAATCAGAAAAATGTAGCTGGCAATAGACAAAATAAATAAGATTTTTAAGTACCTAGAAGGTACATGAAATATAAATAAAATTTTAAACACCTGTGAAATATATAGTGCAATCATAGAACTGTGGCCATTGTCTCTAAATTCTACTGGACAAGAGGTGACCAAGGTTTTTTTTACTGCTTTAAACATTTTTGAAGCAAAAATGCTATTGTAGCTGCTTATTGTGCCTATTCATAAGAAAGAACCAAATGAGATCCATTTGCTCAAATGCCTATCACCCTTTTGAGTGTAATCACCAAACTTTTTGTCAGATGCCTGGACCAGATATTACAGAACAGGCTAAACTGTGAACAACCATTGGAATGAAACAGATGGGATTTCAGACAGGGTGCTTGAATGTGGATCCCATTTTTGTGTTGTATAATCCAATAAATACAATTTTTGCAGTAAAAAACCGCAATCCATAAAATTAAAACTCCTTTTTATATGGTCTTCCTTGATTTTAAAACTGTATTTAATTTGATATCTTGAACTTTATTATGGGAAAAGACCACAAAATACTACTATCAATAGGCATCTGATGTTTTTAATATATTGCTCCAAGTGTAACCCCAAAGAGTGTGCCAATTGCAAGAGAGGTACAGGATTGCTGCATTTTAGCCTGGCCTTGTCCATATTCCATATTCCATATTAGTGATAAGGTAGGAGCCTTAGAATGCTTGGAAGTCCATGTTTCTAAAATTGCCAGCACACAACGTCCTTTATGCCAATGACGTGGGAGTTATCTCTTATACTTTGACTGAAGAGTATTGAAGGCTATTACTCACTTCTGTGAGTTCCAAAAATTGATCAAAAACTGTCAGAAGTCCAAATAAATGACATTTCTAGCAGCTGAAACAGCACAGAAGGATTGTGGGTGGAAATAATATAAAATCACTCTCTCTCTTTCAATACTTTAGAACAATATTTTATGCCACAAGATCCAGGAAAAGTCACTACAAATACATCAAGCAAGCAGCATCTAAATGACTATCTACATTTCTTTTTAAAAAAACTAGAGGATGCGGGTTTTTTAATCTGTGGCCCTTAAATATTTTGAGGCCAAAACCCCAACCCAGATTTTATACAACACAGATTTTTCTTTTTTTAAGAAAACCCCAAAGAGGTCATAAAGCCTACATTTCTCAGGGCAGTTCTCAGACTTGAGGCAGAGTTTCCTTGATTTGGATATAGAGGGCTCAGAGCTTCGTAATGCAGTACTGGCTGAAATTATTTTTTTCTCCATTGAGCCTGGCACTATTGGCTCTAGCAGATGATTATTTTTTTACTGTGGGCTTCATAAGGGGAAAATAAATTAAATCCCATTGGATTAGCCAAAGATTATCTTATTTCTGTTGGCTATGATCAGGCAAAAAGGATTATCTATCACAGGCTGGAGGACATAGACCCTGAAGCTGAAATTGGTTCCTTAATACAGAAGCGTATAATACTCATCCGTAAGAATATATGTGAACCAGTAAAACTACCCAAGTGCATTAACCTCCCCCCAGTGTAAGACTTTTTTTGACCCAGGAATACTCTCAGACTTTTTAAATGGTAGATATAATAAAATTCCTGTGACTGAGTATATATGTTTGTGATTTTGGAAGGGTTAAAACTATCCAGTATGTACTTCTCTATTGCAATTTTTATAGAGATTATTGTGGATTTTATTTATCATTTGTTTTGACTCCTTGGGAGAACAGAAGAGTTTAATACTAAATTTAGTTCATATTTTATTAATATGCACTTTCCTAGGTGAATTGTGATACATTTGTCTTATTTTTTGTTTTATTGTTTTGGATGGTAGTCTGATCTTTGCTCAAATATCAGTGAATGTTATATAAATAAATATTACCTTATGGAATTCTGGTTACATGCTAATAGTCTAAAAATAGCGAAGTCCAAATTCTTACTCTATCTGGTTTAAAACTGGGCCTCCTCCCCTGGGATTTCATGTTGCAAAATGTCTTAGGTTTTGTTTCATACGTTGGGTGCTGGTAAAGGAAAACGGATATGGTCCAGTTTGTAGTGAACAGTTCTTTTAGGATTTTAGAGATAAACTTGAGATATTGTGGGTAGTATTTATGAAAAATAATTTTATCTTTTCTTGGAAGCAACCATACTATTCTGGCACTTATGACTGTAATGAATCCATCTATTTAAACCAAAAAGAAACCAACAATTACATGCTACCTATTGGGCTGGTTAATTATACATTAATTATGCCTCTCTTTTTTAAAAAAATCAATGACTTGTCACAAATAACATCTATGTTATTTCAGTATTATGCTTCATTGTTACCTGAAGGACTATAATCATTGTCAAAAATAAATAAAACGCAGCTTGAGCTGGAGGCCAATAATTTCCATCAGGACCTGGGACATCAAAGGCAGGTTTCTTTTTGTCATCATACTGCCAGACCCAGATTCCATGCCCTGCAGGAGGGGAGGGAGAGATTAAAACACAGATTAAACAATGGAAAAGTAAACACATTTAACTGATGTTTTCTGTCTTCTGAGACAACACTTTCATGCTCTTTCCTAATTTGTAAGCCTAGATTATTTTAGGAATATACATTCAAGGTCACTTATGAATATAATGGTTCAGTGACAGCCACACAATTTGTATGCAGTGGCCAAACATTTTATCATTGACATTTTCAGATAATAAAAGGAAAGACTCTTTTCTGAAACTCAGACAGCTAGTCAGTATAAATCAAGTTCCGATAACTAGGTGCCCTTCACCAACTTCCACAGCGTCAGTCATGGCCAATGGATCCAAGTTTTACACACCTGATATAAGCACTTGTAAACTAGATGGATGAATGATCTAATACAGATAGTCCTCAACATATGACCACTATTGAGCCCAAAATTTCTGTTGTTAAATGAGACATTTGTTAAATGAGTTTTGCCCCATTTTATGACCTTTCTTGCCATAGTTGTCAAGTGAATCACTACACTTGATATGTAAGTAACTTGGTTGTTAAGTGAATCTGGCTTCCCCATTGACTTTGTTTGTCAGAAGGTTGCAAAAGGTGATCACATGACCTTGGGACACAGCAATGGTCATAAATATAAATAAGTTGCCCAAGCATCTGAATTTTGATCACATGATCTTGGGGATACTGCAAAGGTTGTAACTGTGAAAAACGTTCATAAGTCACATTTTCAGTACTGTTGTAACTTTGAACGGTCATTAAATGAACTGTTGTAAGTCAAGGATTACTTTTATATGATAGTTTCCTTATTAGAGAGGGATATGATTTTCTCTCTTAGGGAAGGACTATGACATTATTAGATACAATGTGCTTTGGGTGTACAAGGCCTATAGAATCTTGAAGGATGCAAAAACCTATTCGCTGCAGCTAGTGTGGATAATACCGAGTGAGAAGAACATTATTATTGATCTTACATGGTTGAAATCAGGTTGAACAAGCATACGTGTGAGTGTGTATGGGGGAGAAACATATGTTTTAAAACCCAGTGACAAGCTAAATATATTATTGTGAGCAATATGAGACATCTCACTATTCTTCTGCTTAATTTGTGTTGCTATTGTTCCTATATTTGAATTATTCTGGTAGTGTTTGAAAGATTGGAGTTCCTAGGAATGATGTGTGGATTGTATACATGTATACAATGTATACAAGGATTAGTGCATTGTATACATGTATGATGAGGGAGAAAGATCTGGGAATTCTTCCAGTTCAGATTTTAATCTAAACCAGAAAAAAAATTGAATGCATTAAAAGTAATTTGTAAAAACCTCTGATGCTTGTATTCAACTCTTCTTGAGATGTCAGAATTGTTCATCTCTTTTTAAGGGATTATTTTGTATGGCTAAAGTAGGAGATTGGTCCTAATTCTCTCTTCTCTCTGTTGCTTTTGCTTTGTAGTTATGTTTGAATTTATGCTTCACAAAGCAGGATTGGTTGGTTTACAAAATATAACAAGACTGGGATTGTACTGCTGCTATTTAATATGTCATATATTGCTTTTGGCACTATCTTAGTGGCTGAGAATATTGAATATGTATTTTAAAGAAAGAAAAATTCTTCCTTCAGTCCATCAGAAGTAAGTCTTCTATATTTAATTAGGCCAAAAGAGGTGGTTTCAAAATACTTATTTATCTGTATTTTCATTCTGATTTTTCTGAGTTTTCTCAGTATTTTATGGTCCATAAATAAAAGTTAAAGGAACTTACCAACAGCAGAAAACAAACACATTGTGATAAGTATGAGGACACACCAAAGAACATCGCAATTCATTTGTCTTTCAAGCTTACTGCGTTTGTAACGTGGCCCACTGTTATTCAACAAGGCTTTTGTCTCATGACCTGAAAAAAAATTACTTGATTACACGATGGCATATAGAAATGGAGCTAAGAATGAAGGGAGAGAAAAAGATATATAATAAGTACAAAGATAACAACCATAGCTTACCTGCATAGATCACAATTCCAGAGACTTCTTCTGTATTTCTAATAGTGCATCCCCGTAACAAAAGGTTTTCTTTATACAGTGGAACTTTTTTCCCATTCTTATGCACGCTGCCAAAAAGGAAGAAGGAAGGAGGTAATAATTTATTTATAAATAACGTGTATTAACTAAAAATGATGGAGGAGGAAGATATATTAAGTTTAAGCAATTTCTAGGGAAGCTAGAAAGGCTGAATTTGACCGTTTTATATTTAGCCACACTGGCTTCCCATAATGGAATACTTATTTCAGAGTATTATATCATGGTATTTTACAAAACATCAGTGCAATATTTTCTTTCAGTATTGTGAAAAAAATAGATTATTTGGGTAATTTATCAAATAATAGGGTTAAACTTTTAAATGCACGAGAAAAAAAAACATATTTAAGAGTTTTATGTGCTACAGGTAATCCTTGACTTATGGCTACAATTGAGCCCAAAATTTATGTTGCTACGTGAGACAGTTGTTAAGTGAATTTTGCCCCATTTTACAACCTTTCTTGCCACAGTTGTTAAGTGAATCACTATAGCTGTTAAGTTAGTAACAGAATTGTTAAGTGAATCCGGCTTCCCCAATGACTTAGCTTGTTAGAAGGTCATCCCAGGACACTGCAACCATCATATATATATATGAACCAGTTACCAAGCATCCAAATTTTAATCACATGACCATGAGAATGCTGCAACGGTTGTACGTTGCAAGTGTGAAAAAACTGGTCATAAGTCACTTTTTTTCAGTGATGTTGTAACTTCAAAGGGTCACTAAACGAACAGTTGTAAGTCCAGGGCTACCTGTATTGCATCCATGACCACAACATTTCACACATCATTAGGAAATAAATAAGATTTATTTATGTATTGCTCTAAATAATATTTAAATATTTGAAGGAGCTTGTAAGATAAAGATAAAAGGAAGCTCAAAACAATGTAAAGATTTAACTCCTAACAAATATAAATTAATGAAAATTAAAAATTAGGATTTGCTGGGCTGCAGTTCTTCTCTGTTCATTAAAACAGAGTGCCTTTTTGAGACTTCTATATGAATCTGAAAATATAAAAAGATGTGGCTGCTTTTGTGGCTAAGAGCTGTTGCATTAGACGATGGCCCCTCTGAATCATATCAAAGTTTGTTATCATTAACAAAATCATAACCAACATTTGCAAAATATTGGCTAGCTATAGTAGAGATTGGGAGCAAACAGCATAGCTAGTGAAGCTCTGACTTCATTTGAACAGATAGGGACACTCTCTTGCTGAGGTTTTATGAGGACATTTTCATAGTTCTTTTCAGGAAACCAGCAAAACGTGAACCACTGAAAATCTGTATTTTGCTGCTGAAATTTGGTGAAGACCTTTAAAAAAGACCCTTGGAGAGCTGCATGAGTCCACAGAACATAGCTTAGAACAAAGTAACCTGAAAGAGGGCAATAGTTTTCTGATAATCATTTGGATCCAGGAAAATGATAGAAAGCCACTCTGATGCTAGAGAAATTGGCTTTATTTATTAAGACATCATCTCGGGAACAACAGCCAAACTGATGATGCATCACATATTGCAGCAGTTCATAATTCATTTAGTTTTTAAGAATTCAATGTACTGCTGCTTAAAAAAAATCTATTATTGCTTTTTTCCCCACAGTATTTATGTACTTATAAAGTCTTGCCTTTCACCCAAGAAGGTGCAATCATAAAAATATAATTGTACAGCAGGTAAGAAAAAGAAGGAAAGGATAAAAGTGTAGACCAATTCTCTTACAAACTAGTTCTTCTATTGCTCTGCTAAAGGTTTTTTTTTATCTCACATAATGATTGCAATGTTCAATAATCCTTAAAGTTCATAGGTACCGAAACAATTTATCACTCAAAACAATGTTTACAGAAGCCTAAAGCATTGCCTAAAATCTCATGGTAAGCTTGTGAAACTGAAGAAACAGGCTGCTGGTTGTGACCTCTATGTCCTAAATGCTTGACTGGCATAGGATGGGATTTGCCCCTATACTTTTTGTAACTTCATTCAAAGATCGCAGATAATGTAGCATTGTGTTCTCAGGATGTGCTTTTTTACCATGAACTTTATATAAGCAAGAGAATGAGAAAACAAAGAGAAAAAACTGATTACAGATATTTTAAAAGTATTCAGCCAATCATTATTAAGTCATTAAGTCACTGCTATCAATGATGATATCAATGTTCCAATATCTCAGGGGCTGCCACAAAGAAGAGGGGGGTCAACCTATTCTCCAAAGCATCTGAAGACAGAACAAGAAGCAAAAGGATGGAAATTTATGAAAGGGAGAACCAACCTAGAAATAAGAAGTTTCCTGACAGTTAGAAAAATTAATCAGTGTAATGATTTGCCTCGAGAAGTTGTGGGTGCCCTAACACTGTAAGCTTTTAAGAAGAGATTGGACAACCATTTGTCTGAAATGTTATAGGATTTCCTGCCTGAGCAGGGGGTTGGGCTAGAAGACTTCCAAGGTCCCTTCCAATTCTGTCATTCTGTATTATTATTTGGATCCTTTCCTAGCAATGAAACATCAAAATACATTATAATTGGGGGGGGGGGTGTTGTAAAAATGTAAGTATTTTCATTTAAATTAGCAAACAGGTTTTAACAGATATTTGAAAGAATATCCAAAACCATATTATAATAGGGCAATTCCACCTTAAGTAAATCAAAACTGCAGATGAAATAGTAAATTATACTCACGTGAAGCCTCGAAACCTACGTATATCATTATTGGGTTCTTCACATTCAATGGTGCTAGCAAATTTCATGGGATCAAACTCAGAGTCCTGAAATAAAATTAAACAATGAATTATTTTATATGACAGTGTCATCCACAAATGACAAGTGTGATTGCTAGTTTGAGGAATCTATGTCTCGATTTGTCCTACTGTGAGATTCCCAAGTTCCCAAAAAGAATAAGTAATGTCTATTTAGACATCCAGTTATATCACTGGGAGCTTGAAAGAATATGAGAATTTTTTTCTGTAGCCTCTTTGCTACCCCCTGATTGCATGTTTTCTGTCTTGATAGTGGCAGCTAAAGAAGATGAGTTATTCTAGAGCAGATGTTATAGGCACAAGGTTATCTGAGACTCAAAAAATAGTTGTAGATAGGCCCAAGCTTCCATTATCTGTACTTCCAGAATGTGATTTCCTTTATGTATTTATATATTAACTTAATGACAACAGATCAAAAAGATATCAGAAAGAAGCGAACATATACAATAAAGAGAGAAAAGAGCAAGTAATACTGGTTTCCAGTATTAATTTCTGCTCCTGCCTCACCCTTCCAACCAAAGCAAAAGATAGAGTTTATCAGGTTTATCAGGGGGAAGATTAAGAAAAGAATCCTGCTTTATACACTGGCTGCCCAAAGAAGATTAATTAATTAGTAATTGCCCTCGGGCAAGATTAATTATTCCACAGTTAGCAAGGTGAATTGGCTGAGGGTGGTGTTCAATTCATTATTAGCTCTGTCCCTTCCTTCATGCAGGAGGCAAACCTGTGCACAAACCCCCCAAAAGAAAGTTACATTTGAAGTGGCTTTTCTCAAGGCAATTGAGGAAGGACAGGATTGTTTCGCTAATACTTCTAGAGGTCCAGAGACACTACATGAATTGCAATATATACAGGCACGCAAAATAACTGAACAACAATGTAATATCAAAGGCAACCTATGAACAGCAACAACTCAGTGACCATCCCATTGAATTCAGCAGGATTTTGAACTGTAAGTATTGTCCCTGTACATCTGTAGTTAATAAAAGATGACTAGCCCCTCAATATGGGTTACAAAAAAATAAAAATATATCAGATAATATTAGTTACAATAAAATTCCTATTAATTTAAAGCATTCCTCTCTCTTTCCATATAAATAAATATACATACTTAAACAAAATTAAAATTACTCAAAGGCAGACAAAAATAAATATCTGATAATGGATCCATCATACACAGTTCTTTTTTCTTGGTCCCACCCTGTTGGATCAGGTAAAAAAACTTAATTCACATTCGTGTGTCCCACTATTACCCAATTGAAGTGGAGATACAAACAGCTTGTAAAAAAAGCTTGAAAACAAGATTACAGGGAGTAGTCCCTTAGCAGCAATATTAGCCATAATAGCTTTACTATTATTGGTACAATACTGCTGTTATTACTACCTCCAATTATTATTGTGGTATTTCAATATATTCTGGAGTTCAAGGCAGAATGCACAGGAAACACAGTGTATACTCATAACAGCAATCAAGGGTATGGTGGGTTAGGTCTGGCTGAAAGATAGTAACTGACCAATGAACAATGTTAGCTTAATAATTCAAAATGGCCTTTCTGGATTTCCAACATATTAGGCTGACATCTTTTACTGTCAAGGTCTGTTTGTCGGCCTCCTGCAGACCAGAGCTGCTCTCCCATGCTTTTCCATGAAAAACAAGCTATGTGAAAAGCAGAGTAAAACTATTAAATATGTTGGGAATGAAGTCTGTTTAGGATTATCTATAAAGTTTATTCACTTTCCTAGGATAGCCTTTGCATTAGAGGTACACATTTATTAAACATCTAGTACTGACTTGCTAAGACATTTTGCAACACGAAATCCCAGGAGAGGAGGCCCAGTTGTAAACCATCTTGTCTTTTACACTGAGGAAGTATACAATTCTAATAAACACATAAATAATATATATTTTCCCACAATGTACACTAGTAGAACACCATATGCGGCCATTTTATATATTATATAATAGAAGCAGGGACTCAGTAGTATATGTTTTTCAAAGTATGCACCTGTTCTGACAGAAATCTTGTTTGACATCTTTGAAATCACACTCAAACTAAAACTGCAGTGTCAAAGAAAACAAAGAGGAAGACTGAAAATACCAACATTTGGCAGTAATAACTTCCAAATATTTCAAATTCAAGGAAAACTGCAATGGAATCTGGAACCATATATGTCAATGCACCATTAATTCAAAGAATGCTAACAGAAGCTTTCTGAAAAACATAATTAGTACTTCCCAACTGCTTCATGCTAACTCAGGTATATTAACTCTACATTATAAGTTATACATATATTGCAGAATGATTCTTTCCCAATTAACATTTAAAATTCTTCTTCATTCCCTATCTAGTTAGGCTCAAGCTGGGATTTGTCTTGTATGTCTATGACAAACACTTACTTCCTATTTTCAGACTTTACTAGTGTGCTTTCACAAGAGACTAAATATCAATTTTGTTTAGAGATGGACATTTAAATATCAACATACTAACACCAATTATGACTCTTCAGCAAATCAGTTTATGCATGGATTTATGTTTATTTTAAAATGCTTATGATGCGCAGTTGTTTTGCATTTGCTTTGTACAGTACACAGTTCTGCAAGACAAGCACTGCAAGACTATATTCTGAATTACACCAATCAATGCCCGGGTGCTTTTCTATATGGATTCCATCACTATTAATGTCTATGTATCAGGCTAGAAAGTGAGAGACTACAAATTCTAGTCTCACCTTAGCCATGAAAGCCAGCTGGATAACTTTGGGCCGGTCACTCCCAGTCCAGCCCACCTCACTGGGTTGTTATTGTGGAAAAAATAGGAGGATGGTGTTTGGTGCCCTGAGTTTGTAAAAAATAATAAAGGTGGGATACAAATAAACAAAATTATTTTCTCATTTTGCTGATGTAAAAGAGAAACTTAAATATTTTTATATCTATGGCCTGCCAGTTCAGAATTATATAATTTTTACTTAAGTAATAGCTACCTGTTATGAAATGTTTCTTTAGAAAAGTCTGTCTTACTATGACTTTGCTCTCCTTTTGGTTCCAGACAAGAGTTCTTTTTCTTCTTACCATCTGGAATTAATTTCTAACTTTGGTATGACACAACAATGCCACCAACACATCTGGTAAATTTATCTCTTGTGGAAAGAGCTAAATCAGTGGATTCAATAGACTACATCCCAGAGTTCTGAAAGAGCTGGCAGATGTTATCTCAGAACCGTTGCACCACATCTTTCATAAATCCTGGAGCACCGGGAAAATACCTGAGGATTGGAAAAGGGCTGATGTGGTTCCCATCTTCAAAAAAGGGGAAAAAACAGACCCAGGAAACTACAGAACAATCACTTTAACATCAATACCTGGGAAGATCCTAGAAAAGATAATCAAAAAACAGATCTGCGAACAACTAGAAACAAACAAAATCATAACTAGTAGCCAGCACGGGTTTGTTAAAAACAGATCATGCCAAACCAATCTTATTTCATTCTTCGGCAAAGTGACTAAACTAATAGACCAGCAAAACGCAGTGGACGTAGTATATTTAGATTTCAGTAAGGCATTTGAAAAAGTAGACCACAACCCTCTCCTTGGTAAGCTAGGAAAAGGTGGAATAGACAACATCACCACCAGATAGATCTGTAGCTGGCTGACAAACCGTACTCAACAAGTAGTCCTCAATAGCACTACATTCACATGGAGAGAAGCAAACAGTGGAGTACCACAAGATTCCGTTTTAGGCCCAGTACTCTTCAATATCTTCATAAATGACTTAGATGAGGGAATTGAAGGGGAACTCATCAAATTTGCAGATGACACCAAACTGACAGGAGTAGCCAACACCCCAGAAGACAAACTCAGGATCCCAAAAGATCTTGACAAACTTGAACAATGGGCTCTATCCAACAAAATGAGTTTCAATGTGAAGAAAAGCAAAGTCTTACATTTAGGCAGAAAAAA